AACTCAGGATCAAGCGTCGATTCTAATATTGATTAGCTCTCTAGCTAATATCCACAGCCCAAAGATAATTTAATGACCACAAAAGAAGACAATACTTTTGGTTAATTATATACATAAAGGAAACATGAATTACACTGTAATAATATGTATAATGCATATAATAATATTGAAGGCAGGACAATTTAGAGCCCCCCTTATTCTTAGGTATTAAATTAATCAGGTTAATCATTTTCTTTTAAGAGCTTAGAAACCTCATCCACTAGTAGACAAGCTGGAGTTCTACTGTGAAGTATGTTCATTTTCAAAATTATAGTAACATTTGAAAGCACTTTTTAAAATTTAGCAGGTATCACTGCTTGATTATTATTACATGAAAAATATCACATCCTACTGCTGCTTTAGGATGTGCTGGCATTAGAGGGATATCTGAGACCATCGCGATTTTGGTCAACACCCATCCATCATTTTTGAAGATGGTTCCAGTTCACGTCATCAGTGAAAAATAGCTATTCTGGTCCTTTGAAACATGGGTGATGGCAGCTCGTGTTGAATTACTATAGCAATAACCAAGATGTGCATCCTTGTGCTTGTGAACATGTGTGTACACTTGCATGTTTAGGAAAAGTTGTCTTTAAATTGGCAATAAGGGTGTCACATTCATAAATGTTTAGCTTCTTTGGAAAAGCTATATCCTAATTCCTAAACTGGAACTAAGACCCTCCAAAAGCATGCCTCACACTCTTTCAATTTCATTTCTAAACACTAATCTTCTCCGCTCTGCGCTGCTCATCTATTTATCTCTCTGTTGGCCTTTTCTTTCCCCACACTTCCGCTCATGCTGTTCTCATTTGCTTTTTCCTAACCAAATTCTATCCATTATTTATTGCTCACTTCAAACTCTGCCTCTTCTATAAAATGGTCCTAAAATATTTCAGCCAATATTCACCCTCATCTAGCATTGGGTTCATCTTACTAATTTTGGAATTAATTATTCACTACTATATCATAGATATATTAATATTGAAGCTAGCCTCTTAAGAGTTGTATTGTTTTTACTATGTTCATAATTACTGGAACTTTCTGAGTGACTCTGTATATCTGTGTATGTTTGGACAGGAAATTCAACAAAATATAAATAAAGGAAGGAAAGAAATTAAATGGGACATTTTAACTATGCAAATATGTATATTTCTTTATAATTTTGTAAATAAATTATCATTTCTTATTGCTTTGTTTTTCCAGTTCTCTAAGAAAAGGGTTTTTTTTTAAAGTTTCTGGTAGCACTTAACACATCAATAAATACCTACTGGGCAATCAACATTAATTTAACAGATCTGCAGAACCGGACTACTGATTAACACACTTAAGCCTAGTGTTGGAGCTGGTATCAGGAAAGAAATGAAGTCAAAACAATAACAATAATGAAAACCTATGTTACTTTTGGTTGTCATATCTCTCTGTCTTAAACCCACATTCAAAGACCCAGAAAAACCTCTTCTTTGGATAGTGAAATCAATACAAACCAAGCAGCCCTTGCAAGCACAATTCCAAAAAGAAGGGAAAGTAACTGATAAACATCGAAACTGAAGCAGCGAAAAAGCTCACGATGTCCCCGTGCCTTAAACATACGAGGAGTATCCGTGAGGTTAGCTCCGTGAAACCGTCCTCTCGGGTCTGTTTCACCTCCTTCCGGAGGGGCAGCCCTGGTGGGCTGGCCACCTCTTGGCTGGTATCACCCCCGACCTGTGCTCGCCCTATCCAAAGACCGTCTCTGGATACTCCGTGTGAGTACGAGGCACTGGTACAAGACTGAGTGTGCCTGACCGCCTGCAGCCCCCCTGCAGATGCCCCAGCTCAGCCTGTGAAGCGTCCCTCTTACTGTGTGTCCTCTGGAGAGCTATTGCCTTTGCATAAAAATTCTCACTTGAAATGATGTCATTCTATTTCTTCCCTGTTTTTCCTTTGTAGTTAAAATTATGCCTGAGCTGCAAGAATAACTTAAAACCTGCTCTGCCCTGGCATTCCTTTTTCTCTAAGCTTTAGGCATTTAATTCTCAAACTACAGCTAAATCCTGGCACCCTACACACACACTGTTGGGGTTGGGGGGCAGCAACTTCCTTCCCAATTTCTCTCATTACACTCCATGCGGGAGCAGTCCCATGTGCCTCAGCTAGGTGAAGAACTTTCTCCTTTTGGGCTGATTCATGACAGTGTGAGAGTGTGCACTCAACATGGACATCGAGGGAGACCAGAAAGACAAAACAGCATCACTGATCATAAGACAAATCCTTTCTACTCCTGTGATAAACGTATGAACAATAACTACTTGTTATTTTATCATACTCAAAGCTCTTTCAAACATATTACTTGTGAGTTCTTCGCAACTTATATTGTCATCGTCATCAGGTAATAGAAGAAAAGGAGAGGGTTAAGTGGGAATGATTGACATGGCCAAGATCTCAGAGTAAGAGGAAAGGAAGGTCCTAATCCACTTTCTCTTCTCTTGTTCCTTCTCTGCCATGTTGATAACTTGACTTCTGCCTCATTACCAAGGACTAAGTATCTAAGCTTCAACCCCTGTTCTAGCACCAAGTCCTTGTAAAATTTTCAGATCCCAAACTCTAGGATCCACAGTTGCCTCCCAAAGATGGGACTCTATCCCCAGATTACAACCTCTGTGGCTGAGCCTCCTACTCCAGGCAGCCCTCCCTGATTCACTTTGCCTACAACTTCCTGGAAGCTGCTCCAAGTCCTTGGGGCATGTTCATAGTCATGAACCTCCCATCCCAAGCTCCACATCACCCAGTACTAACTGCTTGCCTCCTCTGGTGTGTGTTGTCTCTCAGAGTCTGTGCAGTAACGTGGAGTTTGGGGGCGGGGAAGGGTGTTGTTTTGGTTTTTGCAAGATCAGACAGCCTTGAGTAGCTGCAGACATACATATCCCTCCTCCTGCCCCAGATGAGAACTGCCCCTCCTGCTCCTCAGCCTTCTGATGCTAACTGAGCCATGTCCAGTCTTGTCTGGAAATACTACAATAGTTATATTAAAGGCTTTTCTCTTAAAATTCCAGCTCTGAGGCAAGGACCATTCCAAGCCACTTCAAAGCAATAAAAGAGTGAGTCACAGGAGACTTTTACAGAGGTAAAGATGGTCACCCCATAATGCAATCCCTTAGGATTTTGAAAAACTCTTTTCATAACATTATTTCTCTCTGAATAAATTTAGAATTTGCCCGATAATAATGTGGTAGCTGCTGCAGGATCCTACAAATATCAGTGAACAACCTTTAATAAGACATAAAAATTCTCCATATGTGTTGGGACTGGTTTCCCATAAGAACAGATATTTCACAAGAAAAAGGGCAGAGCCGCCAGCTAATCTTTATTTAGATTAGAAGCAGGCACTAGGAGTGTTCCGGCAACTGCACAAAGAGATATCAAAGCCAGCACTTTGTCTTTTGATGAAGTATTGCCCTTTTCCCCAAGTAATATCTAATTATTAATGCTCTTACTAAGAATAGTAACACCCGTGCCCATGTGCTCATTGTCAGGGGCCTGGAGTACAGAGCAGACACTGGCTAATAATTATAAGGGCTTCTCTATACCGTGAATAAGAAAAAAAGGTTATTAGCAGGGATTTGTTATTAGGATGCCATTTCCAGATGTGCTAAATAAGACTAGCTCTCACCCCAAAGCCACCTTTTCTAATGAACTGAAATGAGCAAAAATGAGCAACAGTGTGGGTAAAGAAGAGACAGGGAATCTAAAACTGAAATACAAATCTAATTCCATCACTTATATTATTATTGAAATGAACTTGGTTTAAAAATATCTCTAAGACTCAGTTTTCTCATCTTTAAAATGAATTCATCAGTACTTCTCAATTTTTGGTTATGAGGATCAAATTAGTATATAGCATTTTGAACAATACAAGCCATATACAAATATAAGTAATTATCATTCTTATACTGACACTTTAAGATCGAGCTTACAAAAGAAGGACCGTTAGACAGGGCGCTGCTGGCAGAGAATAGCAACTATATTCTTCCCATCGTCACAAAGAGGAAGGAGATAGATGATGGTTCAAGTAACTTCCTGTCCAAAATTAACATCATCACAGCAGGAATGTTTGGGTAGCTGAGATGGTTCACATGTTTAAAGAAATATTTGAGGAGCCCTACGAAGTATGTCCATCCACACTAAAGAGTTTGAAATCTGCTTCAATAAAATTTAAATCTGAATGAAATCCATGTGCTTCTTTTACTGAATGTGTGTGTGTGTGCTAAGTCACTTCAGTCATGTCCAACTTGACTTGGACATGCCCAACTCCACTTCAGTCAGGTCCAACTTTGCGACCATAGGGATTGCAGCCCACCAGGCTCCTCTGTCCATGGGATTCTCTAGGCAAGGACACTGGAGTGGGTTGCCATGCCCTCCTCCAGGGGACCTTCCTGACCCAGGGATAGAACCCACATCTCCTGCAGCTCCTGCCTTGCAGGCGGATTCTTCACCACGGAGCCACCGGGGAAGCCCATTGCCAAGTAGATGTACCTGTTAGACTGCAGTTAGAAATATATACTTTTCTGGCCATAAAAAGAGAGAAAATCTAACCAGTTACATTTCTGTTTCTCCTGTGTGAAACAGTAAAGAAGTACAGTGAGCATCCAGACTGAGCCACACATTTCAAGTGAAGGCATGTCTGTAATGCACAGATTTCTATCCAAAGACATTCAGATCATCTAAGGAAGCAAGTCTGGCTATGAGTTCCTCCCTAGTTTCCAAAGACATCTCAATTCAGTCACCATTGCCCTTATTTGCACTTTTTACCCCAAAAGTCATGAACAGTTCCAGATAACACATTAACTCAAGACTGAAGCCTGCCAATATGAAAGTAAACAGTGGGGACTTGATCCCTCGCGAGGCACTTGGTCTCCACCAGGCAGAGTGCCAATCACTGAGAAGAGACAGGAGAACAATGCAGTCAGGAACCCCGACCTCACCTCATCTCCCAGCCGACCAGTTCACGAGGTTCATCCTCCATCAGCGCCACCATCATGGGTGCCGTAAGGGAGGGAGAGTAAACTTATGTACCAAGAAGAAACAAAGTATATGTGCATTCAAATTCCTTTGTTTGAAAAAAAATCAACAGAAAAAAAGAAAAGGCATCACAGCATGCAGCCTGATTTCTGTCCAGTTACATTCTTCCCTTGGGAAGACTTAGCTTCTTTGAGTATGGCCTTGTAAGAGAACACTCACATATGTAAGACAAGAACCCCACAGATTGTGGCTCTGACAGTGGAACCCAAGGGCTTCCCAGGGGCTCAGTGGTAAAGAGTCCTCCTGGTGTCCCAGTCAGTAAAGAATCCGCCTGCAATGCAGGAGACCTGGGTTCGATCCCTGGGTTGGGAAGACCCCCTGGAGGAGGGCATGGCAACCCACTCCAGTATTCTTGCCTGGAGAATCCCACCAGGCTCCATGGGGCCACAAAGAGCTGGACCTGACCAAGCATTCATGCATGGAATACAAAAGCCACTTCTTTTAATGAATTGACATTAGCAAAAGTGAACAGTATGGACTTAAAAAGATGGGGCATTTGTAAATTAAAATCAGAACCTAATTTCATTTCTTACTTGATTATTATGTCTGTGGAAAAGGTGTGACTCTAGGGGACCCCCTGGGCTTCTGGGCTTTAATGATTCCCGATACGGCCCCATCTCCCACCTCTTCCTAAAACTTACTTTTTCCAGGATGCTCTCTTTTCTGCATCTGGAAGAGTATCTCCAGATATACTTTTTCCTTCCTTTCTCATATGAAATTATTCACAAATGCAACTGGAAGAGAAAAAGGAACAGGTAAAGACCTCACTTGCCTTCTGGAAAAGATGCAGAGGAAATCAAATTTTGTTCATTCTTCCATTTATTAAAATGAGTTATTGAGCACCTAAAACCGACATCCAAAGACTTAATCAAGTTTCTGGAGACAAAAAGATGGAAAAACAACACTACCTGCTGGAAAGCAAGTCTCAGTTCAGTGGTGGCGCGCAGACATATAAATAAGCACAGTCCATTAGACAAACATTATAATGGATGTGTGTGCAATGGGTGTGCATACAGTGAGAGTGCTAAGGAGGAAATCTGCTTCTTAGAGCTTTATGGAAGGAAGAGAAAATGCTTTACTACAAGGATACAAAGATGGGAAATTAGAGGCCAACAGGGGATGATAGAGCAGTTCTAGGACAAGGTGCCTGAGAAAAGGGATACAGTCATGAGAGTCCAGGGCCCCCACAGGGACTCTGACCGCTCCCCAGGGCTGTGTGGCAGGGAGCAGCCGGAAAGAGCCTGGTAAGTACAGTGGAGCCATAACCTAAAGACTTTTGAACAGCAGAATAAGGGGGTTGGAGTTTATTCTCTGAGAAATATTTCAAGCCAGGAAATGACTAGTTCAAATCTAAATTTAGACAAGATTCTTCTGTAGGATATGTGGACAGTGAACTGCAAAATGGAAAACAGACTTCAGTTAAGGATTTAACACAGGGATGGAAACAATGAGGAGGTGAGAAAATAAAAAGAAACAAGTGCATTTGCAAGACATTTCAGAGGCAAAATCAACAGTACCTCAAGGCAAAGTGAATATGGGGAGTGAGCAGGAGGTGAAAATCTGTAACTCAGAGATTTTTCTTCAAAACAACTGATGAAGGTGCAACACCATTAATTGAGATAAAAAGAAAAATATTTCAAAGGAAGTTGTCAAGATGAAAGACTATGAATCTGGTTTGAAGTTTAAGTTTCAAGGACCAAAAGCCATCTATCGGCTATCTAAAAGCAGTTGGAAGTATAGGTCTGGAGGTCTAGAGATTACTTGGTGAAGATATTAACTGGAACAGTATTAGCATAAACACTTCACAGTTGAAGTTACAGGAGTGAAATAAAATCATATTTTAAGAGGGTAAGAAGAAAACATTCCAGGGAACCCCAAGTTAGGAGTATGGGGAGGAGGAGAAGGAGGAATCTGTTCCACTATGCAGACACGATCTGTGGATCTCCTGTCTTACACATATGAGTATTCCATGTCACAAGACTGTTCTCAAAGAAGCTAACAATCTTCCCAATGAAAAATGCAACTGAACAAAAAGCAGTCTGCAGGACCTGATTCCTTTTCAGTTTCTTTCACTCTTGGTCTTTTCAACCAAAAAAAATCTTAAGTGCACATACAATCTGTGTGTGTCTTTAACACATTAATTTATTCTTTAATACCTTTGTCAAACAGAAAACTCATTGTTTCGAGGTACTGATATACAGCCACCATCTAGTGGTCAAAATTGGTAACCACAGGCTTGCGCAGTTGGGGGTAAGAGGAACATTTTTTAACATTATTTCCAGGGGATCTTAAGGGTTATGTTAAGTGAAAAACAGCCATCAGTCAAAGATGGAGACAGTGGAAAAGTAGCATTGCTCTATCTTTTCCTGAGCATGGATTGTGGAAAACAGGAACAATTCGCAGGCTATGACTGTCCTTTCGAGCACTGTAGGGAACTGTGGAATAAGACACACCTTCTGCAGGGTTATCTGGCCTCAGGTAAGGTGGCAGCCCCTGACGAGACAAATCACAACACGGTCCGTAGCCACAGCCAGCATTCAAAATCCAAACTCTTTTTATCTTGTTCCCCAGATGCTTACAGGACCTAGCCACTGGCCTCTCCCTCTGGCCTCACCTCTTACCGCTTCGACCCGTGACCACCACGACGCAGCCACGGTGGGCTCCGTGCTATTACACGAGCTTCTAAGTTCGTTGCTACCAGGCAGCCTTGGCTCTTACTGTTTCGTCTCTGCCACCGACCCTTTCTACCACCCTCTCCATCTCATCTTAGGCCTCTGTTTAAATATTTCCTTTTCAGAGAGACAGTCCCTGACAGTTCTAACACTAAACCCCTCTTCCTCCAGTTTATTTTATTCTTGGCACTTAGCACTATCCGAAATTGTATTATTTAGTTACTTGTCCAAAGGAAATCTCCAATTCTACAGAGCAAATTACATGAGAGAAGGAATTTTAATGTATTGTTTGCTAGCACCTAGAGGAACGCTATTATAGAAAAGATGTGCAGCAAAGAACTGAGGCTGAATGAACCCCAGGAGAAGTCTGGGTAGTCTCTGAACAAAAGAGACAGCTGGGCAGAATTAAGTAACGGTGAGACTGAGGCCAAAGACTGATACATAAGCAAGAAGGCCCAGCATGGAATGGACAAATCCTGTTTATGACTCAGAAACCAGGAGGGGCCACGTAGGGAGAGCAGAGAGCATGAACTTGAGGTGGACACAACAGCTAGAAATCAGGATGGGGCGGGGGGCGGGAGGGGGGTTCAGGATGGGGAGCACATGTACACCCATGGCGGATTCAAGTCAATGCTTGGCAAGACCAATACGATATTATAAAGTAAAATAAATTGTTATTAATTTCACAAAAAGAATTAAATGAATTAACGCATGCCAAGCACTTAGAATACTGGATATTACATGATAAGGACTCCCTCAATAAATGTGGGCTTTTGTTATCACTAAAAAAAGAAATCAAGGTTCAAATAACAAACTGCAAGTGGGGGAGGGGTAGCATAGAGATTGCCAGGCTTTGTAGAAAACAGATACTCAACTCCACTAGAAGCAATTTCTCCATCCACTAAAAAACCCTTAGAAATGTCAGGAAGGACTTGCGTGGTATGTAGTTTTCACATTTCACAATATAGGAGCATCGTCTGAGATGGGAAGTAGAAAGGACTAATCAGAAATGGAGATTCCTCTGAGATTCACTGCCATCACATCTGATGCCATAGGTCAGGGAACTCTGAAACTACATTTTCAATCAGTATACAAGGTGAGTCTGATATAGTCACCTTGGAGATATGATTTTTGAGATATACCTGGTTCTAGTGCTTTACGATTCACAAGACACTTCTACATAATGTCACCTGTGATTCTCACCTGCAACTCTGCTGAGAAGCAGGTAGGGCAGGTTTTTAGTTTCAATTACTACACAGTTTTAAAATATTTTATGAGAGAACACTTTAAACAAATATACATATGGAGACTACCATAATGAACCCTCATATACCAATCACCCAACTTCAATAGCTGTCAACAAGTCAATTCCACTCCCCTCCACAGACTGCATAAGTTTTAATCAAGTCTCAAGAATATTTCAGGCCAATGTGGATCAGAGGAGAGGTTTTACTTTTTATTTTAGTCATAGGACTGTGTGTCTTTCAGGGATGATGACTTGCCCAAGAATATATACCTGGTTCTTATAACTGAGGCCAGAACTTACCTACCTCTGTGAGTGCAGATGGGGACAGTTACACCCTTCAGAACACAGACTTTGAGGCTATGGCAATTCTCTAGCTTTCTGCGTCTGTGTGTGTTTGTGTGTGTGTGTGTGTTTTATAAGAGGGTAAGCAGTTATCTCTTTAGAATATTTTCTGCTCAATTCTGCCTAGGGACCTTTTCAGGTCTTACTACTCTAGTGCAACTAAATATTTTATCAGCATAAATTCTCACTGTGCTTGGAAACTCTAAGCTATGAAGAAATGACTGTGAAGATGCACTAGAGAGAAGTGATGAGCCAGCCCAGGGCAAAAGCAAGCTGAGGCTGGCCCGTGGAACCTCACACCACCTGAAGTGTCAGGAAAACAAATGCGATGGAAGCACATGCTTCTATCTGAAAATGCGGCTGGCAACACAGCTCTGCCTTGGGCTGTTGGGATAGTGACAAACGAAGTGCTGGTTGATCCCCCATGTATTTCATTTTTAAAGTGTTTGCCAATATTGGAGCAGCCCTGGTTGTGCTGGGGTGCCACACCTCCGGCAGCACTGAGGCCCCCCTCACTGGTCTCAGGGTCCCCGCTGATCTCCATTACACTGCTTTCTGCCTTTCCCAGTAACGGCCAAATTAGGATACTGCAAGGATCCAGACTGGCTAAGCTGCAGGCATTTCAGTGACTCCACCTGGAAAGCGTGGCCTGGGAGTTCTTCATTCATGGCACATGGTCAGACTCTGCCAGGGCTTTTC